TCAAAGCCCGTTTAGTAGCTAAAGGCTACAGACAAAGGGAGAATGTTGATTTCTTTGATACCTATTCACCTGTAACTAGAGTAACATCTATTAGAGTATTAATATCTCTTGCTTCTGTTTTTAATCTTGTAGTACATCAAATGGATGTGAAGACTGCATTCTTGAACGGTGAATTGGAAGAAGAAATCTACATGGATCAACCGGAAGGATTCGTTGTTCAAGGAAAAGAGCATCTGGTATGTAAGCTAGATAAATCTCTTTATGGTCTCAAACAAGCACCTAAACAATGGCATGAAAAATTTGATAACTTAGTCATCTCACATGGTTTTAAGATAAATGGTAGTGACAAATGCATATATGTAAAATTTGAGAATGACATATGCACTATAATTTGTCTATATGTGGATGACTTGTTAATTTTTGGCTCGAACATTCATGCTGTGAATGATGTAAAGCTATTGTTGAATGCTGAGTTTGATATGAAAGACCTAGGAGAGGCTAATGTAATCCTTGGAATTAAGATTACTAGGACAGAAAATGGAGTTTCTTTGGATCAATCTCATTACATTGAGAAGATCCTAAAGAAATATAGTTACTTTGACTGTAAACCTGCTAGTACACCTTATGATTCCAGTGTTAAATTATTTAAGAACACTGGTGATGCCGTAAGGCAATCGGATTATGCGAGCATCATTGGCAGCCTTCGGTATGCCACTGATTGTACTAGACCCGACATTGCCTATGTCGTGGGATTGTTAGGCAGGTTTACTAGTTGTCCTGGTAATGAGCATTGGCATGCTATTGAAAGGGTCATGAGATACCTTAAGAGGACCATGAACCTAGGGTTGCATTATGAAAGGTTTCCAGCTGTACTAGAAGGCTATAGTGATGCTGACTGGAACACCTTATCAGATGACTCTAAGGCTACTAGTGGATATATTTTTTCTATAGCCGGTGGAGCTGTATCTTGGAAGTCTAAGAAACAGACTATTTTGGCTCAGTCCACCATGGAGTCAGAAATGATAGCACTAGCTACGGCTAGTGAAGAAGCAGGTTGGTTAAGAGGCCTGCTAGGTGAAATTCCCCTATGGGAAAAGCCATTACCGGCTGTCTTGATCCATTGCGATAGTACCGCGGCTATTGCAAAAGTTCAGAACCGTTATTACAACGGTAAGAGACGACAAATACGTCGTAAGCACAGCACTGTGAGAGAATATCTCTCTATCGGAGCTGTTAGAGTGGATCACGTACGCACTGAGAATAACTTGGCTGATCCTTTGACGAAAGGATTAGCTAGGGAGAAAGTCCATTTTTCTTCTAAGAAAATGGGACTATTGCCATTGAAATGAACCACACATAATGGTAACCCAACCTATGAACTGGAGATCCCAAGAAATAGGTTCAAAGGGTAATAACAAGTTATGGTGTGTTATGAGTTGAATATGTTCAAAAGACATAATTTCCTGAAGCGATCAAGGATGAGTTAATAGGAACTCTTAATGAAATCTATACTCCAATTTGGAGTGGAGTACCAAGCTACAGGAGTACTCTTGATAGATTCACCTATGTGAATGTGGAAGTTAGGCCGCTTCCTATGAAATGTGTGGCAGCATTTCTAGAGCATTCACTACACTGGGATAGACGTGCATGGCCGAAATAGCACGGGTCTAGAACAACACCAAGAGTAGGTTGTGTGGGGTACGTTGTCAGAGATAGGGTTCAAAACTTCGAGTCACCCTTGTTGAATCTGAATCGTACTCACTACGTCGAAGTTCAAGTTGAAAAACACTTCTGTTTATGCGCAACCTATATATGTATGGATTCTGCTCGAAAATGTTTTCAAAAAATTCAAGTGGGGGATTGTTGGAACAACAAGTGTGTAGTGTGTGAATTTTGTGAAAAACTCAAAGTCCCACATTGGTGGGAAATGAGAGTTTTACTCTCTTTATAATATAGAGAGTGGGCTAAAGGGGTGTGGCCCTTGGGCTACCCACATTTTGTGGAGAGGGAGGACCTATATGGTAAACCATCTATCACACACACGCGCGCCGAACCGAACCGAGCCGAGCCGGGCCGGGCCGGGTTGGGTCGGGTCGGGTTTATTAAATAAACTTATTTTTTGGACAAGGCTAATTGCGTGATTAGTTCCTTGATTTTTGCTAAACGTTTTTGACTGATTGCATTTGACCGTTTTTTATTCAAAACTGATTAATGGAGCGTTAATCATGCAAACGTTTTCACTGATTTTTTGCTAAACGTTTTGCCACGCATTAATCTTCTGTAACCGTTTTGAACGTTCAACTTATGACCGTTTTAATTGCGTGATTAGTGCCTAATTAAACAGCAGCAGTTACGTTGCAATTTTTCCTATAAAAGGCGTGTTGATTTCCTGTTTTTGATACACAAAAAAATACGAACAGCAATCTTCTTCTCCTCTCTATTTTTCCTCACAAAAACAAAACCCTCGAGCAGTTTCTTTTCTTTTTGGGTGTTTAGTTGCCCGGTGGTTTTGTGCAGTTCCACCGGTATAATTTCAATAGAGAAAGGCTGTTTTATCCTGGGGAACATCCGGTTTAGTACGAACTGCTTGCACCATTTCAGGGCAGTGCCGTGAATGTTCTAAAGAAAGCGACATAGTCCGCGACTCAGTCTATTTTTCGGTAACTTTGTTCTTACTGTTTTTGTTCCCGCAGTTCCGTTTATAACAGAGACATTATTTGGGCAGCGTTTCTCATATGTTAAGTCTAATTTTATATGAGATTCAAAAGCTAAATGAGTAAATTCCACCCATTATTGTTAGTTTTGTCAAACATGGCTTATGTTCCCTTTATTTTTATTTTAGTAACACAATAATACTTCTTAGCAATGTGTTTGATCATCAATATCATAAATTATACATTAGTAAAAAAAAATTTTTAAAAAATCAAAGATAGAAGTTATAGAGTTTATACATTATGAATTCAAAGACACCAGCAAAAATCATAAAGTGTTGGTTAAAATTACTGAAAGATTACATACTTTATTCGTTCTTTTTTTATTGACACTTTTCTTTTAATGAGTAGTAAAAGTTCTATCAAAACTAGTTTTTAAAAAAAAAAACGGAAAGAACATAACTTATATTTGTGATGAACATCACGACTTTATAAAAGAACACAACATTGAAATATAAAGAACGTAATAATTTTGGTGAAACAAGTTTTAAAAAAGGTAAAAGATAATTACCAATTGATTTATACCACGTATTTAATGTCAAATCATTTCAAAATATTCAGTTTTCTGTAATTTCTCTCTCTAAAATTATTTTTATCAATATTTCATTTTCAAATTTCAAATTTTAAAATTTGAAATTCAATTTTAAAATTTCAAATTCCAATATTTTTTATTCCGTTCTCTTTCTTTTTTTAAAAAATTCTCCAAATAACCAATTACATATTTTTATATTTTGTTATAATATTCATCTTGGTCATGTGTATCTTGTATAATGTTCATTATATGATTTTTAAATGTCCATGTTCTTTGATTGTATTTTAATGTACCTTTATTGTCACACAATGTTCATTACTTATTATGAAATGTTCTTTGAATTTTGTTTTAACATGCTGGGTAAATATAAATAATGCTCTTTAAATAATATTATCATATATAGCGAATGTTCTTTAGATCTATCTAAAAATTAATCATCAATAGAACAGGTCCCAAAAGTATATCGTCTTCATCAACTTTTATGATCCTGATTTAAAAAAATATACATATACACAATTAGATGATTTTTTTTTGAAAGAAATACGCAATTAAATGAATATAATTTGTAACGTAAAGAACATATATAGTTCAAATCCAAAGAACATAGTTTGTGACTATAAAGAACATATAGTTTACACCCAAATAACATATTAATTAATTAAACTCAATGAACGTATTCATTCAAATGAATATGGATCAAAAAAAACTGATACAAGAACATTTATCCCAATCCAAAAGAACTTCATCTTCAACCTTCGAAAATAACACAAATTTAAAAAAAAAAAAAATGGAATTTACATTTTCTTTCGGTGATGAATTCTTTAACAATGATCCATGAACAAATATAATAATCTAAAAACATCATCATCAACAACAAACTTATGAAATATAAATTGAAAAAAATAATTAAAAACTACTTTCTCATTTGGTGACAAAATCTAAATTCTAAAATTAAATATCAATTGTTAAAAACATCAATATGGTGATCATCAAGTGTAAATCGACAATCATAGATCATAACGATATTCACCATGAGCCATCATTTTCTCCCTGAAAAATTTATTTCTTTCTCTTGAAATTTTAATCCTCTCTAAAAATTCTCTATTTTTTCAAAAACTGATTATGAACAATTATGGATATGGGAAGCTAAAATTATGGAAAGGAAATAACAAAAATTCATCAATTAAGTAGCATAAATTTAGGAAGCTGGCTTTTTTTTTTTTGACTATTTTCATCCAGGTGTACCATGGTGTACAATGTAAATTTCACTCCGATTCTGTTTAATTGCATCATTTTCTCAAAACATCAGTTTCAAATTAAGTTGCATCACTTTTCTTTTTGGTTAATAAACTCTCTCTATCTTTCTACTATCATATGAGTCTATTTTTTCTTTTTTTAAAAAAAATTCTCTCTACCTCTTTCATCTCCAAAAAATTTCTTGGACTCCGCAATTTGCAAAGTGATGCAATTAAAACACCGAAGGAGGTATTAAAAATTGGATCTTACTAACAAGCGTCCCGAGGCGTTAGATTAGGGATTAATATATTACTTAAAATAGTATTAATTTCAGAATGCATGACAAAATCACGCGTCGATCAGTGTAATTAATGTTAATTATACTATAATATTTCCACAATTAACCCTCATATCTAACATCGCGGGTCGCTCGTGAGCTTTTGCCTTAAAAATTCTAAATAGGAGAATAATATGGAGCAAGTGAGTAACAAATAATAACAACCACCTCTAGTCAAACAATAATTAATTGTTGTAAGAAATACCCCGTAAGAAATTACAAGACCTCTATTGGCTCTATATAAACTCAAAAAAAATTCCCAAAATTTAGGAACGACAAACAAAACACTCTAAAAAAGCAGAAAAAAAAAAGGAAAAAATCTACTAAGGGCGTGTTTGGATTGAAAGCTAGAAATTATTCCATCGAAATACAAATAATGGGAAGTGAACACAGAGATGAAGAAATCAGAAAACCCAGATTTCTATGTTTACATGGTTTCAGAACAAGCGGAGAAATTATGAAGAAGCAAATCCATAAATGGCCGGAATTCGTTTGTGATAAACTTGATCTTGTTTTTCCAGATGCCCCTTTTCCGGCCCAAGGAAAATCTGATGTTGAAGGCATCTTTGATCCTCCTTATTACGAGTGGTTTCAATTCAATAAAGTCAGTCTTTTTTATTTAATTTAATGTTTATTATTTTTTGTGGTTGATTATTATTATTATTATTTGCATGTATGATTAAGTTTTAATATGGGGTTGAATTATTTTTAGGAATTTACAACGTATAATAATTTTGAGGAATGTTTGGAGTATATTGAAGAGCTTATTATTAAGCATGGTCCCATTGATGGTCTTATGGGTTTTTCTCAGGTACAGTACAATTTTTTGTGGTTTAAATGACTGGATATATTTGATGGACTTATTGTATGATTAAGCACATTTTCTTAATTTAAGCGAATTGTGCTCCGTACCCAATATCATACAGTGAATTGTGTGACACCGGTATTGATTATATTATACGGTAAATGAGGTAGTTATTGACAAATTTTCCGTATCTTTATTATTGTGTGTTGTAGGGGGCTATTTTGTCAGCTGCATTACCAGGGTTGCAAGCAAAGGTTTGCGTTAATTTAATATTTTCAATTTGTTTGTTTATGAATTATGATTTTGAAATAATTGGGCTGTTCTTTAAAATCTTGAATTTGGATTAACATGAATGTGTATACTTTTGTTACAGGGGTTGGCTTTGACCAAAGTTCCAAAAATTAAGTTTTTGATTATAATTGGAGGTGCAAAATTAAAGTCTGAGTCATGGGCAGATAAAGCGTATAGTTCTCCTATTGAATGCCCTTCACTCCACTTTTTAGGTATAATTTTTGGCATTTTTGCCAACCCTTTGTACTTTAATTTAGTGAATTTTTGTTTCCCCTGAAATTTGTGAATTTGTGAGGGTTATTTGTCTGTACTCTACATTCTATAATGCAATGTGGTTTACTTGGAACTAGGCTTTGTGTGCTTGTATTGTCTATAGATGATTAGATTAGGCAGGTTGGTGTCAGTGAACCACCCTAAACACCATTGGATTGGGGTACCTTGAAAACCTGTAGAGATGGTGGAACGGTTGCTACTGAGGCGTCAACTGCCTGTTTCATTCTGAGTTATGACAGGTCCGGTTTGGTGTGGTGCTGATTGTTTGACATATATTGTTGATAACTAGAGAAAGAATGGAGTTGTAGCTGTGGAAAGGAGCTTTTTGGGTTGATCATACGTGAAATTAGTGTCAATGTGTCATTAATAAAGCTAAGGTGCAAACAAAATGAATTATATTCATGAATGGAGAGCTATTATGAAGGTTGATTGTGGGAATATTGATTCTCATCTCATGTGTTTTGCTTAGTGTTGAAAAAGAATCGTATTACCTTGAATGCTACAAATTCCGTTCTAAAAGATTGGTTGAATGAGTTGAATCTTAGTGGTTAGGTATTCCTTCTAAGGCTATAGAGAGCTAAATTTGACGAACAAGAATGATATCCTGGAATCATCAGAGTTCTATTAAGAAGAGCGAGTATTCCTAGTATATATGGATTCTGTTGGGACCGGAATCTACAGATGTATGATTGTACGCACTCAGTGTTTTTTATACTCGTTGACTTGTGAAGTGAATGTTAATATCACCATTTGAGGATTTTATTTTCCAATGGAAAACTTAGAAGCGATTTTAACTTATGGCATCTCATATATAGAGTGACTCAAGGGATGAATATTAGATACTCTTTTCTTTGAATTTGATGAAGAGAAGAGGGTGAGGGGTGGTTATGAAAAAGGGGATGATTCCAAAACTGTCAGCAAACTTAATGCATTGTAATAAGCTCTCTAACACCCTGAATGTTGATGTTTAGTTAAAAAGTATTGGCGTAGTTTGCTGTGTGAGTGCAATACAATCTGGATGCTGGCCTTCCTATCACGATTTGTCAGCAAACGGAGTGCACATTTAGTAGCTTTGTGCTAGGGATACTTTGTGGACTGGATTTATTCTTATTGATGTGTAAAATTTCTATTGCAGGGAAGGAGGACTTCTTGAGGCCACATGGAGAAGATCTCATTAAGTCTGTTGTCGACCCGTATATTATTCATCACCCCAAGGGCCATACTGTTCCTCGCTTAGGTGAGGTTATCAATTTACTTTATAACACAAATTCGTTATCACTCTGCTTCCATGGATTATTGGATTGTTTCTTGGAGATGTGGTAACATATCTCATTGTCTTTAATTTTCAGACGAGAAGTCATTGACTACCATGCTTAGCTTCATTGACAAGATTCAGAACATAGTATCTGAAGAGGAGAAAGATAAAGAAAGCAATGGACAATGACTGCAGGACATAAAACATGCATACGTACGGCGATTGGTTGTTTTGGCTGATTGACTGAAATTATGCATTTATTTAGCCATGGTAGCAAGTTACACCTCTAGCTGTTATTATGCCGTTGATGATCATGTGATGATGTCTTGTCTTATTCATCATCTGTTTATAATGTGCTCAATTAAATTCTACGGAATTTTTGCTCATGTAATTCAACTGTAAAATTATGTGAATGTATTCTCTAATAATGTGATGAGTCATTGCGTTCACGTTATCAATTAGAAACTATATTGTATAAGCGTGCTTACTTCATTCAGAAATTTGCTTGAGTTTTTTACAGACAGTATACCGTGATCTAATTGGCAATAGTGCAATTTCCAGTATTCACATGAAATATATGATTTGTTTGTAGAAATGTAGCAATGCTGAATCGGATCCCCCAAGGTTATACTGATATATTTTCAGGCAAAATAAGTTAGATAAATTTCAGAAATACTCATAAGTTTTGACAAAATAAGTTCACAGTTTCAGAAATCAGTTTTGACAAAAAATCTGATTTTGAAAAGCCAACGCAAACTAGTAGATTTACATTGTAATCATGAATGACTTGTTGAAACTGTTACTTTAAGTCAAATTAGGGTAGCTTGAATTTGAATTGCTTTATTGTCCACTTCCATAGATAGAACCTTGAACAAATGTTTAGTGTTAGACTTTTACTAGTGTGTTATTTGTTCTTTTTGTATTTGACTGTCATTGAGATTCTTTTTTATTTATTTATTTATTTTTATTTTTTTTGACAAGAGCTTACATAGAATAGGAAACTAATAGACAAAATTAAAAGAGGATAAATTAGAGTTCGCTGTCGTAGCAAGAATGTGAGCCCTCTCCATTACCACCCAATCCACCTTGAGAACATCACACCACTCAAAACTGCTGCTTAAGTGATGAATACGAGCAAGTGTCCAACGAATAGCAATATCCGAATCTTGGGCACCCCTAAGGCAACGGACAACTGTAGTAGAGTCTGTATAAATTGTAACCGCATGAAGTGACCTTGTGACCGCTCATTGTAACTCTGCCACACAGGCATTCAACTCCGCATGCAGAGTAGATTGGCAAGCCCAGAAGAAGCCCCTCCAAGCCATCCCTGTTCCTCTTACTCCCCAAATTCTGGACACCAACCCATCCCCGATCGGTGACTTTGTTTATTCCACGAGCCATCAACCAAAATAACTGTTTGTACTAGCAAGCTTCCAGATTCTGTGTCCTGCAAAACAGCACGCAAAAACCCCGGAGGGTAATCACTTACCAGTTCAGGAGGGTGCAAAGCGTGAAGACCCCCTGCCTTCTTAGTAGCAAAAGGATCCTGTTGGCGAAGACCTTCTAAGATAATTGCCGGTGTCGGCAAAAGATCAGCACCCGGCCACCCTCTGATTACGCGATATCCACAACCCCCCAAAGAGTTGCGATGAAAAAGGTCGTTCTGTGACCATCAAAACCATCCTGGCTTAGAAACAGTCGGATATGGTACATAATCCAATCGTTGAAGGATTGGTCTGCGTTAGCTTGTGAGTGGATACATAAAATCCCACCCCTCTATGCATCTCGTGCAAAACTTCAAAATCTAAACAAGTGCTGTAAATCTTCCACCTGTGTCCCACAAAGGTCACAGTGTATACTTACAACCAGGCCCCGTTTTCCCAAATTAGTCTTTGTAGTGATTCCATTCTGTAGTAGCTTCCACATAAAAAGTTTCCACTTGGGCATGACGTTGAGGGACCAGAAAATCTTATACAAACCTGAAATGTCAACTGAGAAATCTGTGAGACTGGTTTGTTTGAGAAAGACATACCCTGTCTTAACGGTAAACCGGCCCGACTTATGGTATTGCCAGTACAAATAATCCTCTGAGTCACCACCAGGTAACTCCATACGTACCATGACTTAGGCATCAGCGTGGACAAAAGCAGAGTTTAAGCGGGCAAGGTTCCATTCAGAACCAGACGGACAAATGAAGTGACTTACCTTCCAATCCTTAGCTTGACGCAAAGTAACCGTACAATTATATTCTGGCACTCTTCCAACCATCCATATATCCTTCCCTACTACTATAGACTTTCCATTTCCCACCTTCCAACCACAACCCTTGGTTAGAGTATTCCCCGCCCTTATTAGGCCCCTCAAGGCCCAAGAGAAATTCTTATTTCGATACCGAACCTCCAAACCTTTAGTCAACAGGCCTTGCAACCGGGCCGCACACACCTTGGCGAGCAAGAGCTGAGGGTTGTGAAATAAACGCCAAGCCTGTTTCATAAGCAAAGCCGAGTTAAAAGAACCTAGACTTTGAATTCCTAAACAACCCATACCCTTAGGCATGCACACCTTTTCTCTACTCACCCAGTGCTTTCCCCTGTTCTCCCTATTTGACCAAAGGAAAGTCGCAAGAAGAGAGTCCACCTTATTCACAATACTACTTGGCATCTCAAAGCAGCTGAGGACATGAAAGGCAATGGCAATGAGCACAGAGTTGATTAAAATCAATTTGTGGCTGAGACAGATTGATCGCATTAAGCTTGTCAGCTTTTTACCAATGTTATCGACGATGAACTGAAAAGAGGCAGAGCGGCCCACCAAGTCAATAGGGACTCCTAGGTGTGATGCGAACTGGTCAACCTCGGCCATGCCTAATATACCTCTAAACGAGGTTTGCAAGGAGAGCGGAGTATTAGGGCTAACTTTAAAGTGTGACTTGGCCAGGTTAATCTGTTAGCTTGAAATGTTGCTGAATCTGTGAATAACGGCTGCAATGGCGTGGGTACTGCGAACATTGGCTTTGTAGAACAACAGGGCATCGTTTGCAAAGAAAAGATGAGAAATAGAAGGACCTTTGAGTCTCAGCTTTTTACCGTCGAAAAGGCGCATGTCACAACCCTATTGTAACATCCTTGACAAAACATCCATACAAAAAAGGAAGAGGTAAGGGGATAACGGGATAACAGGTCCCCCTGACGTAACCCACAGTTAAGCCTAAACTGGTCACTCGTCTCCCCATCCAATAAAACTTTTTATGAAACCGTCGAGATGCACTGGCCTATCATCTGCAACCAAGTGGGAGGAAATCTGTAACACTGCAGAACCTAGTTCAGAAACACCCAATTAACCCTGCCATACGCCTTGCTCATGTCGATCTTAACCGCTGCCAATAGTCATACCTTGTAGTCCTCTTGTTTATTTTGTCCAAGACTTCGTGGCTTAGAAGAATATTGTCCATCATTAGTCTACCTGTAATAAAAGCATGATGGGACAAAGATATTAGATCCAGCAATGCTCTCTTCATACGATTCACCATACATTTTGAAATACACTTATAAACCGTGTTACAGAGACTAATAGGGCGAAGGTGCGTTATTGTTTCAGGGACATCAATCTTCGGGATCATCACCAAGATGGAATGATTCCATTCCTTTAGAAGGTACCCGGTGGCAAAGAAACTCTGGATAGCTAATACCACCTCACTTCCCACCTTATCCCAATGTTTTTTGAAGAAGGAAGTTGTGAAACCATCAGGGCCTGGGCTTTTGTCACCATTGAGTCTAAACATAGTCATTCGAACCTCCTCCGCTGTAACCGACTTAGTTAAAATAGCGAGCTGGCGACTATCCAAGGTTGGGATATCAAGTTCTCGTAGTAGCATGTTCGTCAAAGCATCTGTATTTGGATCCTATACCAGGCATAACACCTTTTTAACCAAGTCCACAACCAAGTCCTTAACCTGATCTTTATCCTAGACACCCGAATCATTTTGAAGAGTGTGAATCTGATTCTTCTTCTGTCGCATTTTCACCCTTGAGTACAAAAGGGAGGTAGAAATATCTCCCGATGCCACCCAATTTTCTTTCATTCGTTGTTGCCAAAATGAAACACTCAAAGAGGCAGTAGCCATAGTCGTGTATGTCCACATTTGTGACGTAAGAATGAACAAGCGGTAGATCCGCAGCTGACATACCTTGTGAGCCCAATTTTGTTGTCAACAATTTCCAGTTTACTCCCCAGAGCTTAGTGTTTTGTAAGCACCAGCGACGCAGTTGATTCCTTGTTGTGACCTGTTTTCTAGAGACAAAGAACGTAGGAGACCCCACAACAGGTGTAATCCACGTCTGTGAGACAATCGAGCCAATCTCTGCAAAATCCAGGCACCAATTATCTACCTGATAAGGTCTATTGCATTGTCTCTGAACAACTTCATTAGTAAAAATAATGGCTGCATGATTAGAGGCAACCAATGGCTGGTTAATAATCTTGCTCTCCGGAAAATGAAAAAACCAGTCATTTTACATATAACCCCTATCCAGGCGTTCCAAAACAAGGCCATTGGTAAGTCGTTTATTCGTCCAAGTAAACCTAGGACCGGAAAAAGGAACATCTAAGAGTTGATCACTCAACTTCCAGTTTGTGAAAACCTCACTACCTCTAATGTGTATGGTCCCTACCAGCTTATCCTCAAATAGTTCCAACTGATTGAAGTCTCCTAAAATAAGGCTATTAGGGAATTATAGTGGAGATTAAGTGATAAAAAGAATCTATCCATGTCTAAGTAAGTACACTACTAGAATTTTCTAATTGAATCAAGATTGAACAAGTATTCAAATTTGAACATTCAAATTAATTGATAGCTTTAAACTCGAGTCAAACTAAGTAAGAGTAAAAAAGGGTGAAACTTGTAAATGAAATCAAAGTGGCCTAAATCAGCTTGTTTATTTATCATTTAATTTCAATAAAGAAATTTTGACCCTTTACTATGATAAGAACTACTCCTTTTGTCCCTTAATGATAGTCCCTTTTGGCCAAATTTTAGTCCCAAAATATTCATCCCATTTGCTTTTTCCAACAACCATTAATATTAATTTTTTTTACCAAAATTCCCTCCAATTTTCAACAATATTTGTGCAAATTTAGCTTCCTCACGTAAATTTTGCATTTCCATATACTTGTATTACTTTATCTCTCTACTATTTTGCATACCCCATGTAAATTTACCTTTTCAATGTACTTTTACTACTTTTTATTTAACTTTCTTAATTCCCATGAAATTTCACCAAAAGAGACTATCATTAAGGGACGGGGGGAGTAGGAATGTTTGATATATATGGACAAACAACATGCAAATGTAAGTTTGAACTAAATGCTCTACGTATATCTAAGCAAAGGAATTTGCTCTAAAGATTTCTTCCTAGTGATTGTTTAGATAATATTTAACATCTTTAAACCACGAAATGCTACCATGACTAAAATGTCACATAATAACTAAAGCTTTAAAAAAGTAGTATTTGGACAATTATATTCTCTAAAATATTTATTTACTTTTTTGCCTTCATAAATGTTAATAGTTTATTTTTTAAACTCTTACAAATAGTGTGCAAACATTTATGCTCCTAAAAAATTGTGACATAAGAAGTGGCGGAACCAGGTGGGTTAGGGTGGGCCTTGGCCTTCCCCCATGGTTTTAGTAGTATATTATATGTTGCATTGTATTACACTGGTTGAACTATAGATGAGTTGGTCTGACTGCTAACATTGCTAAGTTAGCATGTTTGGTAAAATCAACTACTAACTACTATACCTAAACTCTGTGAATCAAACCAAACAATGAAACAAGCCCATAATTCTACTAGATCAGCCTTGTAATTAAGGCACAACTTTGAATCCAACTATACAAGCAATGGACTATCACTAGATTTTTCTACACAAAAATAATCAGTTCCCAACGGAAATGAGAAGGGCGTTGCTTAGCAAAACAAAAGCAATGTCATGTCTTCTTCCAAACCAATCATACCTGATTTTTAAACCCGCCATCTTCCCTTTCCACCATTTTCTCCTTAAACCTCCATTTTTCTCTCTCTTCACTTCCCTCTCTACCCCTTCTCTTCACTTGGTAAGCTAATTCATTCTACCTCTTTTTTTTTTTTTTTTTTTTTTTTTTTCTAGTATGTCAAATTTGATTCAAACTCATCAAATATCTGCATTTTTCTGTAATTTTTCAAATTAGGGTTTGAGAAATTATAGTTCGAGAAATTGGGGTTTGAGAACTCAATTTCGCTGTTTAAGTATGAGCTCCAGTAAAGAATTGGAATCAATTTCGTATTTATCGCAGCAAGAAGCAGCGGGGATTGATGAAGATTTAATGGGTCCCTTGGGGTTCAGTGTTGATCAGCTTATGGTACATTTGATTGCGTTTTTGTAATTGATTTTCAATTTGGAATTTTGATGATGAATGCTGATGAATTCTAATTGTTTATTTGTGTTAATTGTTACAGGAATTGGCTGGTTTGAGTGTTGCTTGTGCTATTGCTGAGGTACGATTACAGAACATGATTTTGATGTTTCATTGTCTTGATGAATATTTGGATCATACGACGCCTTTGTTTGGTTTTCGATGAGACACGAGCATAAGTCTGCTTGTATGCCATTTAGATAATCTAGGTATAATTGGAATTTAAGTGTATGGTAATGTTAAGGAACCTGCTACATTTGATTGAAACCCAACAATAAAGTAGAGAACCTATCAGGTTTACATGGTTCATCTGATGTTTATATGTCGGCAAACAAGTTGTGTTCTTGTGTATTCACTAATCACTGCAATGTAAAGGATAATATGAAGTAGGTAGAGCTTTGAACCCTCACAAATGGCTATGGTTCTCACTTTATAGTACTCATTAGAGCAAACATAATGGACGTTTATATAACTATGATTCTAAAATATGCTTCCAGGTCGAATGAGTCATGACGGGGCTAGTGAGGACCCCCTGCAACTCAATTGAAGGGTTACAGATGGCACGTCCTGTAGGGTGTCTCATCTTGTACCCATACTCTATTTTATTTGATTCATCAACTTAAACTAGAATATATTGAATTGTCGGTAGTTGCTCTGGTGATATGGCGGAATATGAGATGTTTGGTCATTAGATGAAATCATTTACCACCTAGAAGCTAGATTTACTGACATGCCTAACCGAGTCATAGGTGGGATAAATTTGTTGATCTTGCAGCTATGCATATGTGTAATATATGCTATAGATAGTGCACGACTGTACGTGCTTGTTTTTGAGATTGACTCATAATAAGGTTTTAGATTAGAGTTTGAGTAAAAAATTCTAAAGTGTAGACAATTTTTTCTTAGCCAGCAGGGAGTTCACCCACTATGTCATGCTTTTTAGTTGTGATTTTATCATGTCAATTCCTTTCTTCATTTTATTATGATGCTGGATGCTGAGGAGAAATTATGGTCTGGTAACAAATAAGAGCTGATGACACAACATTACTTGTCATTATGACAGGTTTTCAAGGCCTCTGAGTATAATCGTGTCCTTGCTATCTGTGGCCCTGGTAATAATGGTGGTGATGGACTTGTGGCCGCTCGACATCTATATCACTTTGGATATAAGCCTGTCATCTGCTACCCAAAACGCACTCCTAAGCCTCTATACAGTGGCTTGGTGACTCAGGTAGAAGATGGGTGATGGTGATTGTTGGGTGCCTTTATACAGCTAAAATTCCTTCTATGAGAGATGCTTACGTGACATTATTTTTTGTAGCTTGAATCACTGTCTGTCCCTTTCTTGTCGGCTGAAGATCTGCCTTTGGACTTGTCTGATAACTTTGACATTATCATCGATGCTATGTTTGGGTTCTCTTTTCATGGTAATTAATTATTTCCCGATACTAACTGCTGATTTGTAATTTGATTGGAATCCTGGAAGGCTGAATACAGTTTTTGTACATCGATTGTGACTCTTGCAAGACACTCTTGTAGTCTTGTTTCAGTGGTTTGTGTACTCATTATATGCTATTTTTGAATCTTCAATCCCAAAGTATTCTATCAAATTTATATCTAAATTGGTAAATCACTAATTATGGATGAAGAAAGTTAGAAGCTGAGCCTTAGTTTGTAAAATGTTTAGATATGACTTGAGTGTTAACAGGACATCAAAGTTCTGTGTTGATTTAACAATTTCAGTCATATATAGGGCTTTAATGTTCCTCATCAAATGAGCGAACTCCTTTGGTAATTAATGTTTTGTTGTAGCAGTTGCTATAGTGCGAAGATCAATGAAGTTTAACTATTTTATTGATGTTGAATGTCGCTCGGTTTTTAAGGCACCCCAAGACCACCTTTTGATGCTCTCATCCAGAGGCTGGTATCCTGCCAGAATCAGCATCACACTGGTCTGAAGTCAACTGTCATTGTGTCAGTGGATATCCCATCTGGGTGGCATGTTGAAGAAGGGGATGTCACTGGTGAAGGCATCAAACCTGACTTGCTGGTCCGCTCTGGTGGAAACCCTCTTTGGTCTTGTGAAAAAAAATCGATCTTTCATTTACGTTATAGTGCCTAAGTTTTAAGAATGATGTCATTTGTCTCCTGTAGGTCTCATTAACTGCACCAAAGCTATGTGCCAAGAAATTTGGTGGTCCACACCACTTTGTGGGTGGAAGATTTGTACCACCGGCTATTCTAGAAAAATATAAGCTTCATCTTCCGCCATATCCAGGCACTTCAATGTGTGTACGTATTGGAAAGCCTCTTCAAGTGGACATTTCGTCTTTAAGAGAGAATTATATATCTCCAGCCCTACTGGAGGAGGAGGTCGAAGCTGACCCTTTTGATCAGGTAAAGTTCAATTATGACAAAAGATTAGTGCTTTTAGCAAGTTGTGTATTCAATATCTTGTTAGTCAGTCTTTTATTTATTGGTTATGCTCTTTTCTTGTTATAAAGTGGCATAACTTTCTAATTCTTCTGAAACAAGATATCACTAGTGGTTCCTTGTTCTCTTGCTGCAATATGTTTTTAAGTAATTAGGATATCTTAAGTGTCATTATCCATCATGATTGTGTAATGCGTTGCTTTAACAGTTTGCTTTCTATCCTAGCTCTATCATTATTTTTCAAAACCTTAGTGTACATCCTTTTCCATATTATTGGGTTTTCCAAAGCTGGCCTTTATGTTCTGATGCCTCAGCATTAAATTTTGTCCTCTCCCTTTTCTTTGTCAGCATTTTTTTGTCTTTCGTGCATCTCTGTAACCTATATTCTAATTTTGTTTAAGTAATAACTCCATCTTGTAGTTCAACAAATGGTTCAATGATGCAATTGCTGCTGGGTTGAAGGAGCCAAATGCCATGGCCTTATCAACTGCTGCAAAGGATGGAAAGCCGTGAGTTATGCTGCTCAAGTGATTTTATGTGCTCTGTTTGAAAAACCTAGTATCTTCAGAACGCATGCCATTAATTGTTTCTCCTGTTGCAGCTCATCACGGATGGTTCTTCTGAAAGGAGTTGATAAAAATGGCTTTCTCTGGTTAGTCACCCTCCTCACCACCCACCCTCGAATAAATGGATCCTGATGTGGGTTATGCCTATTCACACCTACTTCTGTGATCTTCTACTACAGGTTCACGAACTATGAAAGTCGAAAAGCAAGGGAATTATCTGAGAATCCACATGCCGCACTTCTGTTTTACTGGGATGGCCTTAACCGTACGGTGCGTGTTATAGTGTTTTCATTATGAGTGGCCGCTGGCCAGGGCCTGCATTTGATGACAGTGGAACTGAGCTGGCAATTTCTATTAAAACTGTTCTATCTAGAAAAACTTATAAAGGATATACCTTATATTTATATAAAAAAAAAAATGGGGTGAAATAAAGGTGTTTTATATTAAGAATCTGGCGCAGGTCCTTGGTTTTGTTATCTTGTTGCTCTGGATTTTGCTTCTGCTGTTTAACTGGAAGGAAGGGAGGGTGGATATCACTTCTAATTCTACAGACCAATGATCATAATTTAAGTAATAGTTTGATACTTTGACATATCCCAAAACTTGCATCTTGAATGACGAAGCTTAATTGTTTGTCTGTACTTTACATAGTCAAGTGGATGTGAAGTCGCGTTCTATTTAGTTTTCTTGGATTCTGCATGTTTGAACTCCTTTTCTGTATAGCCACTGTAGCAGATCTCTGTTTTCATATCAGGGTGAGGGATGGGGGGAGGGGACTAGATAGTGTGTTGATGAGGTGTTCTAAATAGTGGAGTTTATGATCAGTGTTATGGTTTGATATTTCGTTATGAGGCAGATTTAACAGATGTAATTTCGCCTGATATATTGAGTGTTATGTAAATGTGATATGCCTTCTTAGTGAACTCTCTGTATACTCCAAACCTAACTTCACTTTGTGTTCTAGGTAAGAGTAGAAGGACCCGTGGAAAAGGTTTCTGATGCCGAATCTGAACAATATTTTCATAGCCGCCCTCGAGGGAGTCAAATAGGAGCAATTGTTAGCAAGCAGGTTCTGTTTGTCTATACATCATTCTCGTCTGATAAGGCATGACCCAATATTAATGTAATTTATTAATTTGTTACCTGCTGTTCAGAGTAGCATTGTTCCAGGGCGACAATATCTCCAAGAGAAGTACAATGAACTGGAGGCAATATATTCAGATGGGTTAGTAGTTGAAAGTTCTTCTTCAATTTTTTTTTTTTTTTTAAATTTTTTTTTGTCCTGATTAGTTATTGTCCCTTACTGTCAGGTTATGTATTCTGGAATTTGATTGCTATGAACAAGAAATCAATTATGAATTTTCAAATGCATTAATCCTTGTCCTAACTTAGTTTGAATTGCTTCCTTCTAATTCCGGGTCTGTATCTTAAAATGTGGCTAGTATATATGAGGAGCTAGTCTAGTATTATATTTCTCAAACAACTTTTTTTTTTTTTTTTTTATTTTGTTTTTTGTTATCAAATACTCTTTCCGAGACTTCCTTTTGTGTTTACTCACACCACTTCTCCTATTTGCTTCCCTCTCTATACAGGGGTTTGATTCCTAAACCAAAATACTGGGGAGGATACCGGCTAAAACCAGAAGTTTTTGAGTTTTGGCAGGGGCAAACTTCTCGCTTGCATGACAGGTAGGACATTGTCAGTTCTGCTGTATTTTTTTTGAGGTCACTTAGTGCTAACTGATGCAAAATTAAAATGTATCTTTTTCTCTGGGGCAGCTAGTTTTATGGGCTTGGAATTGCTATTAACTCGTTTTGTTTTATTAATTATTTGCCTCAATTTCGCTCACTTCCTGGCCATGTTTCTCTTTTCTTCAATGAGCCCGTTTAGACATGCTTGCACACATAGGGCTTATGCTTGCTTTCTCTTAACGACTGCCTGGTTCCTGTAGTCCTTAAGAAGGCAAGAACTTTCTATATTGTCTTAATATATTTGGTTATATAAGGACATAGAAGATGGAGGAAAGGGAGAAGGAAATGATCCATTGTTCTTTGTTTGGATAACCATTGCTGAGCTAGGGAAAGGGAGGGAATGAGCTTGTATTATTTTAAGAACTTAGTGAGGTAATTGTTTATGGGCCCTTATGGCTTAACGACTGAATTGATATAAATTTGCAAGAGACTACTATTTTACATGCCATTCACACACATACGCCTTCCTTTGATAGAACTTGACTGCTACAAGACCAACAAGAATTTAATTTTCTGTTACATGGGGTGATATTGTTTTGAAGAAGGCTGGCACGCAATTGGATTATTAAGGAGTTAGGTACAAGTCATCTGATATTGATTTATGAAGCCGCGTATACAGAGGAACGAGTGTGATATACTTGTATAATATACCTGATAAGATTGAGCAGTGAGGCTGTTAGTGCTTTTTACTATGGGGCTTTTTTTATCCTTTCAAATTTGCAAAAACGCTGTTTATTATATAAGGGAAGAAAAGAGATCCTTTCATTTCCTTAACCCAACAATGGAATATGGATCCCTTCATCTCCCTTCCACAAATTCCTCTATTTTAAAACCTGCCTCTTATAATTTCTTCTTCCCGCCCCTCCCCTTCCTTCCTAAAATCATATCCCACAAAGCTATTAGAGAAGACTTGGATTAGCTAATTGTTAACTGAATGAAAACTTTGTTGATTTGGTACATGGAACTTGACAGTGGCTGATGAGAAGGATTTCATTTAGCCAACTGATGAAATGAGACTGGGGGCCTGTGAGGGTGTTGTGCTTCTGTCAATTGTGAAGTTAACACTTATAGTATTACATTTAGTTTAGCCTGGATTGATGCTTGAGTTGATCGAAGTTGACAATAAAGAGGGATAGACACTAGACAGTAGACAATTTTCTGATACGTTGGCACAGAGAAATTTTGAAGTCAAATTCGATTGTTTGGATAGCTTGTGGTTTTGGTTAGGCCTAACATGATGTTTCTCTGAGAAAATGATAGGGATTTGGAAGTCAAATTCAATTCCTTAGCAATGTCATATACACATACCTATAAACTAGGGGTAAGGCTATATACATCTGACCCTCTTCTGGGACTTATCTTGCCCCAGGTCGAGAGCTTCTATAGAATTATTGGGTTAGTAATAAAAGTTTTGAAAGTTGAATTCTTTCAGGTGGTAATTTTCTTCTAGAAACTTATGAACCTTCTAAATACGAGAGACACGCTTTAACCTATACAAAAGTTCTTGCCATTTTAATGTCGTTATATCTCATTTTGCTTTTTCTATTGTCAATAGAACTACCTGCAAAGTAAATCTATGTAAACTTTTAGTTTTGACGAGTATTTTCTTACGCAGAATTTTGCAATTGATAATAATCTGTATAGCAAGACGCCTAGGCTAGGAAAAGGAATTATGTCAACAGAGGGTTGTGCTGAAGAATATATGAAATTATTAAGTACTATAATTGAGCTATAAGCGTGAAATAGACTTGCTCTGCGTAGACAAAAACATATTTATGCAAGTTTTGTTCAAAAAAATAAAAATATTATGGAGCTCATCTTGCTAGGCCTCTTCTCGCAACCTTGAGGTTGAATTTTGTCCTCTTGTATTTCAACCATATGGGAGCATTATTGGTGTCTATGCTCTTTGTCCATGTTTCCTTCTGCATGTCCTGTACCCCTGTTTAGAGTGTTGAGGCCAGTGGGTTACTCACTAGTCACTCACTACCAAGTGTAATAAAAAGCTTCATACTACTCATTTCGTTGGAAATTTCCCTCAAATAATCTATCCAGACATTAGGAATATTCCTGGCTTGTTTCAATACTAAAACCTCGTCATTTGCTCTTCTATGTTCTTGTTCTGCAGCTGCAGAAGTCTTCATCTTTGTTACATTCTTTGAATAAAGTTTTACTTTTCAAAATAGTGAAAATTCAGTTTCATACTGTTGTGGATATTGATATTATTTCCACTCTTTTCTCTTGAATCTGATACTTTTTTTGTATGAAAAATACATTTTTGGTTTACGCCTTGCTTAAAGTCTGACCAGAATCTTTCTTTTGCTTAGGTTGCTATATTCTCCAGTGGAGGTTGATGGAAAGTGTGGGTGGAAAATTGATCGCTTGGCTCCATGACTAGTTCTTGCTACGTCAGCATTGTGAGAATACATAGTATGTCCAATATGTCATCTTCTATACGTTAAGGAAATTCAATCACTTTGGCAGTTTCAGTTGAGCTTCTTGTTCTAGTTAGATGCATTGTGATATCAGGACATCTTGTATTTTCTGATTTGCTTTAATTTATTGCTTTGAGTTAATTATAAACAAGCATAATCATGTAGAGCTTATTGGTCTTAATAACTGTTGAAATGCAATAAATATATTGTCTTATCAATAATATCACCTTTTGATCTTTGCCTTACATTCACTTCTAACTGTTATTGTACGAAATTACTACATATTAGGCATTAGCTAACTATCTTGTCAGATGTAAAAGTCCAGGCTAATTATAGCAAACTAAACATGAAATGAACTATAGAAAGTAAAATGATTCATTAGTTAGTATTAACCACTAATATTTCAAGCTTATTGGATAATTCTCTAAAAAGATTAGCTTTTATTTCTGTTAATCGCTACTGTACTGGGCGTATCGTCCAGTACAGTTGATGAATGGTTTTAAGTAAATCTTTAACTGCATTTTTTCCTTATAAAGTTTTGATAGCTATTTGAATGCTTTTGTGGTTGAGCTCGCTGAAAGCTTTATATTATGTCTTCTCAATTTGACTTGTTATATCAAAGAATACGATTTCTCATCTTTTCTGCTGGTGTTGTCATTTTCTTTTGCAACTTTCTCCTGTGGTAACTTCTAACTGTAAGCATTTCTTAGATTCTTGTTTTCAAAAGTTTCCTCCCTCTTTTATGCATTATTATCATTATTAGTCCTGTAATTAATACACATCTCTACTTTCTGCATGCTTGCTAGCACTAATATAAAAAAGCTTTGTTCTCTAGAGAAAGAAATAATTATTGCGGCTATGCTAATGAACCACTTTAATTGGTAGCTTGTTAACTATTTTGTTTTAAATGTTATGATTAATATGCGGCTTTTGTTAGTTGATTACCATGATTAATATTCAATAATTGTAATTATGCTATGCATTAATTTCGTTATAATCAGGGTGCAGATTTGCTGCTAGTAATTTCTTTCTGATCTTTTGAACTACTGTAGAAGGCTATGTTATTTTTTGCTTTTGTTTATCACTCTTGTGGTGAAAACTTGTGTAAGTTAATAATCTTATAGATTTTATAAGACCCTTTTATTGGGGTAGGGGCGGAGTTTGTATAGTCTTGATAACTTTTACGAGATAGGCAAAATCATTTAATCTCCGTTGTTTTTCTTCTTTACTCCCTCTTCAGTCAGATACCAATACTATACCCCCTATATAACGTGAAGTGTTTATGATATTAATCTTCTTTGCCCATTTCTTAGCGGTCTATTAGGGAAATTACCAAGTTAACTCCGGTGACATTCATGAACATTAGAACATTGTTTATGATTATACTTCGTGTATCAGTAACTTATCGCACACCCATGCACGCTCTCTTGCCTCGTTTCAAAGGGAGCGAAAGAGTGACAGCGCGCTTACTTTTCAAAATTCCATGATACTCTGTAGAGGCACATGAATGTGGGGTGATCATTTTATGCAGGTTAATGTTGTGGATGTTTGCTTATAGTTATACCGTTATAGATAGGCTTGAAACACTGAACCCAGAAAAAGACGAGGTCGATTGATCGAACTTGACCAAACTTTAGGGCTCCACCAAAGAAGGTACTTCGTATAAGCATGTGAATGAATGAAAGTTTTTCTTTATTTTTCAAGCCTCTCTTTTGACCAAGAATTTTGGCGAACAACCTACAACCTTACCCTTGTCTTCAGCCTTTTCAGTGAGAGGGGCCATTTCTTACTTTAATTTTTTTGGCAGAGGGTTGGTTGTTTTCTTTCTACTCAATAATTAGTTGGATAACTGTGGAATAAATTTGAAGATGATTGATTTGTGGTTTGTATTCAACTCTAATCTAATGTGTGTTGTGTTAGTTTTCTGTTGGGTCAATTGTCGATTTGATATGATAATACGCCTTTAGAGATAAACTCTTGATTCATGTAGTGGACTCCTATCCGCTTTGGCATGAAGATTTCGGCACTGTTGGATTGTTTAAAAGTTGACTGGTTAATGGACATTTAGGCTTTTCATGGTGTAGGCACAAGATTGTTTTACCTAATTACGGTGTAGCTTTTTGGAAGCTTAAGATTTGATCAGTTACTTTTGTCTCTTCTTTTATTAATTTACCGTATTTACTACACTAAACTACCTACAAATTAGGGTTGGCAAGGACAAAATTATGCTTGTGCTATGTTAACACATTAATTTTCATCAAAGCTTGGACTAGGGGTGCTAATCGAGTTGAGCAACTCGCGACAACTCGAATTTGACTCAATAAAAGCTCGGTCAAAACTCGGCTCGAATTGGCTCGACTCGAGATATTAACGAGCACGAGTTGAGCAAGCTCTAACTCGACTTGATAAGCTCATGAGCGACTCAATAATAAATTTATTAATATATAATTTACAAACAAAGTTACCATGTTTAAATTTAACAATAAGAGTTAACTTATATTATCAAGAAAAAAACAGTAAATCTTTAATAATAAACAAATAATAAAGAAAACTATATAAAGTGAATAACAAAATAAAAATAAAAGGCCTATAATTTTAAAAGGACCAGACCTTAATGAGCAGATCGTGAGCTACTTGACTCGACTCGAAACTTTAACGAGCACGACTTGAGCAGATTTTTTTTTTACTCGAAACTTTAACGAGCACGAGTTGAACACCGGTAAAAAGTTTTCGAGTCGAGTCGAGCACCCCTCAACTCGTAATCGACTCACTCGATTAGCACCCCCAGCTTAGACTTTTTTAGTTGGGGAATTATTCTCTCTTGTTGTAGAGGCGGCAGCTTTGTAGAAGGGGATTAGAATAGAGTTGGAAATTGACTAATATGGATTAAAGGGGCTTAACTTGACCAATGCAATTTATTCCTTTGGATTGTACATCTAGCCTAGACATACAACATCATTCACCATCTTCTGTTAAAATATCGCGTTACATATAAAGTTGCACATTGAGTTGTTAATGCTAGTTTTGACATTTGTCGTTTCTTGTTTCTGTATTCTTCCATCTACAGGTTAAGCGATTCCTTTAAGATGAGGATCTCCTAATTTGTGTCTGAATCTTACAAATTATGTTAATTATATATGAACAAATGTTGACTTTGTGGCCTTTGTTTGAATTGAACTTGTAATCAAATCACAACAATAATCACGACAAACAAAAAAAAAAAAAAAAAAAAAAAAAAAAAAAAAAAAAAAAAAGAAAAAACACTTTGACAACGTATTTGTACTCCATTTCATATTAATTGAAAGATTTTCTTCTTAATTAATTGGCATAAATAACATTTCTTTTTCTATTACTTGTACTTTTTTTAGAAATTAAACGCATATGTTAACAATAGCTAATAAAAAAGAGGTCAAAAGAAGTGTAAGGGGATGTGCTACATTTCGTGCGCAAGTTTAAGTTGATATAGTTCTATTTTAAAACAGCAATTTTTTTGGTGCAGCAGGTCACACAGTATGGCAGGGGTTACCCGAGTTATTTTTGTTAGGGTTATCCGAGTTATTCAGTCAGGGGTTACTCGAGTTACTCGGTCAGGAGTTACTTGAGGGGTTCGGATAGGGGTTACTTGAGGGGTTCACTCTGTCAAGGGTTACTTGAGAGGTTACTCAGTCGGGGGATACTCGAGTTGTTCGGCCAAGGATTAGTCGAGTTACTCGATTAGGGGGTTACTCGGTCAAGGGTTATTTAAGGAGTTCTGTCAGGGGTTACTCGAGTAATTCGATCTGGGGTTACTTAAGGAGTTCGTTAGGGGTTCGGGGTTACTTGAGGGTTCAATCAGGGGTTACTTGAGGGGTTACTCGAGGGTTCGGTCATGAATTACTCGAGGGGTTACTCGGTCAGGGGTTACTCGGTCAGGAGTAACTCAAGTAACCCCTGACCGAGTAACTTGAGTAACCCCGACAACTCGAGTAATCCCTGACCGAGTAACTCGAGTAACCCCTGACCGAGAAACTCGAGTAACCCCAGCAACTCGAGTAACCCTTGTCACACGATACAGCAGGCCGCATACAAAAAATTGTGATTTTAAAAATATTGAAGCCTAATGATCTAATCTAGAACAAGCTTAATCATAAGACTATACAAAATCGTACTCGTAGTTTATAGGCTTTCATTATTTCAATGTTGGTTAAACCGATTTGTGGTAGGGAGGGTTCTTTAGGCTCCCTAGTTTGGAGCCACAAAATGTAAACATGGAATGATAAATCCATGTTAATTATAATGATTGACTAGAAACATTAGTCACTTAATAGGTCATCCTAAAGTTATTGTGATTTGTGAAACTAATTTGAAGCTGACCCACAGTTGAATAATACGTAGTATGCAAAAAAAACATATACGAAGTATTTCTTTTTACATGTAAATTTTTTTTAAAAAAAAAAATCAGTTGTCATTGTTCAATTTAGCTTTAGTTTAAGCATTACCTAATTTCAACGATGATCTCGAAATAAAGAGCACATAAGTGCAAGCAATGGTAATACAACTAACACCATAACGCAATGTGTCTATTGTGTATTTGGATATAATCGTATCACACTAATTACACGCATAGGGGTGTGAGTACGTGATACACATGCATAGGTAGTCTTATTAGGATACATTTGCCACAACATAACTTTTGCAAAGTTCGTGTTTCATCTTGTTGGAAGTAAACTTCACCTCCCGTTGAAATAAATCTGATGTATAAGGAAGAATTTGCTAGTGCAAAACGCTTAGGTTTTTTCATAGATGATTTTTGTAAGCTCATCACTAATCATGTATTTACTTTTATTTAGTAAATAGTACAGTATATACTTGTGTATTTTTAATATCTAGTCTATAAACCTAAAAGGGTACTAAATATCTTGTAATTTTTACAAATGCATGCTCAATATGAAACACATTATATCTTAAAGAGCAGACAATAATATATGAGAAAAACTTTTCTTATTTACTCTGAAACACTTATATATGGAGTAAGAAATAGAGAATTTGTGAGTCTCGTTAAATCGAAATTACTAAAATACCCTTTCTCTAAATCATTCAGAATCTCACAACTAGATGAATCGTGCAACTTCAATAGTAACTTGGTCTTGATATCTACTCTACTCGTAGTTAGTAGGGAGCTCTTTTGTGTCTCAAACTTTATCTTCTTTGGTTTTAAACTTTACACCTCCTTCCCGGGGGGAATGAATGGGAAAGATGAAATTTACAAATTGTGCAAAATGAATAGGACAAAAGGTACGATCGAAGCATCTTATGTATGATGCCAATTTCTAGGAATAGGATGGTGACAATAATTTTATGTTCCTTCTCCCGACAATGCTAGCAAGAACAACAAGATGCTTGCACCTCATTGTTTTTTAGTTATTCAACCTCATTTGACACCAAGATTAATTAATTAAAAATTAGGGGAAAAAAATGTGATTGAATATGAATAAGATATACATATGATCCATGAAAAGCAAAGTTGATAGCGATTTAGCAAAGGTAAGACTATATACATTGTACAAACTATAGAATACCTATATTGTATATTTGGGAAAACGACTTTGATGACGTTTATAGATGCATTATGCACATTTTACGGTATCAATTTAGACCATAATAAATGAATAATTAAGGAATTAATGATTTCTAAACAAGATATATTCCAACACAAGTACGTAATGATATACTCTATATAAAAATAATTGATATTCCTTCCATTATTTACATTCCAAAGATTTAATCAAAGAAAAAGCTTACACCCTTTTTTTGAAAAAAAATTGTCGCATGTTAAAATGAACTCAAGTTGGTGCATGATATGCCAAAAGAACCTTAAGGCCTAGTTCAACCTCTACATGCCTATGTATGTGTACATCATTGCAAAACACTAAGGGGCCGTTTGGTTGGGGTTAATAATCAAAAGGAAAGGGAATGAACATGCCTCATTTCCATTGTTGTTGTTTGTTTGTCACTTTTTTCATTCCCTTTACCCATTTATATATTTGAGTTTACCCAAAATCCTTCTACATTGATTCCCCTAGACTTTTGCATTTCCTTTCCTAAGCCACCACTACACCACCATATCCACACCAGCCACTACCTTACCCAGTTACCCCATCGCCCAGCCACATCGCCGGAAATCGCTGCACCTCCCCCTCTCCTCGCCGGGAACTGTCGCACCTCCCCCTCCCCTCCCCGAAAAACCTTCCCCCACCCACGCAAACCCTAGAAACTCATCCTCCACCCCTTAAAATCGTCGGTCGTCCCTTCCCCTACCAAAGATTCGGAATTTCCCAACCTCTCCACCGCCCAAGATTCCGACACAAGCCACGAGGAGCAACAGGTTCGCGATTTCCAAGTTCTCAGTTAAGCGATCATCGGCGTTTTTTTGGGAATTCGATCTTACTTTTCTCGAATCTGCAGGACGCTAGCCGCTAGGGAGGGTAAGGGAAGGGACGGCCGACGTTTTTCAGGGGGCTGCGAGGGGTGGGGGAAGTGCGAAGACGGGCAGTGAGTTTCGGTGAGGTGGTGGCTGGGCGGTGGAGTGGCTAGAAAAGTGGGGAAGGGGAATTGTGTTGTGGTGATGGTGATTCCCTTTGTTTTTTAAAACAAACAACATACTACATAGAAAGGGTTTCATTCCATTATCTTTCATTCTCTTTATTCATTCCATTCCGATTACCCTGTGCAAACCAAACAGCCCCTAATATCTTTTAGATGTCTAATGCAATCATTAGGAGGCATAATAAGGCTTAACTTCATGCCCTAAGTATTTGAGTTGTGAAGTCAGTTAAGTTGTAAAATTAAGTAGATTAAGGAAATAGACCGAAAAACTTCAATTTAACCGAGTTAAAACACATTAAGGCTGCTTAAGAGCACGTAAATTTCTTTGACACTACACTCACTTTCACCGACCACACTTTTCTCTTCATTGTTATGCATTCTCGTTTTAAACTCTTAAAAACACATGCACTATATGTTTTTTTTACAATGCAACCGTCGAATACCAAAAATTAAAAATTAAAAATAATACATAGTAGTTACAATCTACCACCCACCAAATATCCATAGAGCCCATAGGACGGTCATACTTAGAAAATGATACATGTTAGGTCTTTTTCAATTTCAAGGATTTTTTTATTTTTTTTGGAATTTGGATATTCTTTGGTTGAAGGGCATGATGACGAAAGATAAAACACAGAAAAAATAAAAGCAGAGGCCAGAAATAATATTGCGAGAGGGGTCGTCAAATGTACTATTTCGTACAGTATGGTGATATAAATCATGGCCTACAATACTATAAATCATCCCAATATGAGTTGTGATTCCCATCATTTCATAATAACAAATTAAATTGACATACTCCAAAAAAATATTTCATTTCCATTTCTTTTAGCTTCGATTATTAGCACTCACATATATGTGCAAATGTGACTACTTGACATAACAAACTTTATTACATTTGGTCATTTAGAGTACAATGAAAAGCAATCATTATAAACATACAATGGTTATAACGCCATGTTACATATGAGTACATACCATAGCTGTAAGATAAGATAATATGGGCGTAGTACAATATAACAATAATTGTGATATTCTTACAGAATACATAAAGAAGAATACATAAAGTGATATTTGGACTTTACTAATAAATTTCATACATTTTTTCGTATATGGTTAATTGTTTAAAGAGTATAAGGTGATTTTTAGTGAGAAGATGGGGTAATAATATTGACCATCTTATTATAATGCACCTCTTTCATTCATGGCTATGAATATTATTATTGCAAATAAAGTTTTGTAGTGATATTTGGACTTTACTAATAAATTTCATACATTTTACTTAGTATAGTTTACACGAACTAAGTATCTAAAGTCACTAGATTGAGTGACTTTAATGGGATATACGATGATTTAAAAAGATACAATGAGTGAATTATATGTGATACAACTAAATGAGATGACCTTTGTTGTTAATCTATGGAGGTAAGCGACTAATTTCTTTCATATGAGATTTGAGTTTCATGAAGCAAAAATGATTGGATTCGCCAAGTTCACTCAAATTAATTTAATCCTTGATAATTTATTTATACATCATGCTATACACATGTCTATAACTTTTTTTTGATAGGTAAGAAGAATAACTCAACTAATCAAACGTGTACGCAACACCCCCTCCCGGTCCATACATAGCCAGACTATTGTACTAATTGTTTCTTTTCAAAAGGAGGGTGAACTATTGCTGTTAACATGCAAACCGAAACATAGAAGCAGATAAGGAGAGCTAAAAAGTTGAGTGAAAGAAAGCGATGGAAAATGGTCCACTTGTTTCCCCTTCAACACGAGATATTGGATGGGCTAACTCCCCAAGTCAAGAAATAAAGCTTAACCTTTTCCTCCTTAAGCTTATAGTTAATTAATTAATTAATTAGTTAATTACACAATCAGAAACCACCTTGATTTATTTATTTGTTTTTACAATTATGCAAGTTTCGAATACCAACAAGAGTACAATCAACAAACATTGCCATATTTCTCTCCCCAATAATTATTTCAAAGAAAAAGAAGGGAGAAGGTGAGCACATGGGAGTAACACTTTACAAGGAACATAAACGTATGTTAAAAATCATATTTATCAACATTCCACATTTGCACATTGCTGAACACAACGTAGCACACCATTAAGGAATACGACCATGAAACTAATATTATTACGAGTACAAGTTTCTTGCTAATTTAGAAGGATTATGTGCCCTTTTCAGCTTAAAAGAGGCACAAGGACTGAAAAAAAGGGGTTTAATTTAGAGTTAAGAAATTATCGATTAGGCAAATAATAGGAGGCAACGGTGCCTTCATCTTCGCTCTCAATTCTTACTTGTCTCAAGTCCGACTACATTTAGTTGATTATTCTCGATGATTAAGAATTTTTATCAAGCAAATACAAATCTTTCGTACTCGCACATTGAATTTGAATCCTAAGCGTTTGATCAAACCGCAAAAAGATGTACATTGAATTTGAATCCTAAGCGTTTGATCAAACCGCAAAAAGATACTGAATACCCCTCCACTCAAGGGCATATTATCAAATCGCAAATGTTTGGTAGTCAACATGCTCAACTTTGTTCACTATTCATATACTAACTTTGATCATAGTTTTTTTTTATTAATATATCAAAAACAAATTTTATCCATATCATTGTTTTTTCAAATATTTTTAAATATATAAGAAATTAATAGGGGCATGGAGTATGCCAAATTTAGCCGTCAATTATTCTAGAACAGAGAAACTAATTATTCTAGAACAGAGAAACTAATACATATTTCAATAATTCAAAAACAAGGGTTTCAAAATAAAGATTTGAAAGATTTTTAGAACACTGATGAATATTTGAAGAGGGGGAGGAGGGGCCAGCAGCGTGTACTTGGACAACACTTTGTGAGCATCAATAGATGGGCCTCTGCAATCAAGAATGATCATTCAACATCTAATGAAAAAGGCAGACATTCAGCTCCCACCACATTTAATTTTATTACTGGTCCATCCCCACGAATATGACCAACATTTATTGCCCTTCTTAACATAAACTAAATTTAACAACATAATTAATTTTCTTACAAGTCAGATGATGCTAGGCTACAATCAACACATCTGATAAACAAACATTATTTCTTCAAGGAAATCTGAGAAGGGAATGGGACTTGGTAGTCTCCGGCTATGCCTTCTGCTAGGTTACATTTTAACTACAAAGAAAACCTCCGATTTAGGTCCGTCTCACGAGCATCTTTCCATGTAGAATGATAAATCCGATCCTTGTGATTTTGTATCATGGCAAAAAATGATGCATTGTTCATAAATTCAATAACCTTTCTCCAATTCCAATTTCCATCTCTAGCAGCCTTGTCTTATACAAAGAAAATGAATGCACAAAGAGTAATAAAACATTGAAAATGTGAAAAATGAAAGTAAAAAGAAAAAAAAAAAAAAAAAAATACAGCAACCGCGAATGGATCAGTACCTCCAACCTTATTTTCCTAACTGACCAATTTCTTATGCACTGAGGGGTAAAATCCGCCCTCCTTTGTGATGATTATCCCTTTGCAACTCCAACAGCTCTGAATCAATACATGGTTTTTCATTTATCCACAAGAGCAGCAAGCACCGAGCTGCATCGTTATAAGTGCACCAATAAGGGTGACAAATCATTCTCTGGTTACGGTCAGAGCAACCGAAACATGTCATCACTTGGTAATATCCAGCCTACAAAATCCTCACATATTCTGGTACATCAGTTCTTGGCCCTTCAAGGGATCGATACATATAACACGTATCGACAAATTCTTCCTTATCATCAACAGCTTCCATACGATTAGTAAACACCTCAACTACTAAATGGGGCATTTCTCTAGCAATCTGCCTACAAGCAGGAAGAGTCAACCTACAAGCGGACATCCAAAGAAATCTCATGTTGTAAAGGTGGGGTAAACCAGCTCGTAACACTGAATCACCAAATGGGCTATCCCGAACCTCCAGTTTCAGCAATTTCGGGCAACCCTCCAGAACATATTTGAGTGCCATGTCTGTATCCCCAGCAAACGCAACTGACAAAGTGCGCACCAATTTTCCATATTGCCCAATGTACTCAAATGCCTTATCAGTTAACAGCCCAGAAACTGCAAGACGAGTGAGCTTCTTGCAATTCATGACAATAGCTCCAAAACCTTCATCCATTGGTTCATTGGTGATGTGGTCAGGGCGGTGTCGGCCCATGATACAAAGCCGAAACACCACAAGATCAGGGCAATTCTTTGACATTGCAATCACAGCAGCATTTGTCATCCTTTGGCAGAAATATAATATGGAATGCAATTTCCGACATCCTTCAGAAATAGCAAGCAGACCCACTTCAGACACGAATCCCTCACTGTCTTCCCTGGCATCGATTGGGAACACACGAAGCTCTCTAAGATCCTTGCAATTTGACGCAACAGCTTGAAGCCCTTCATCCCCAACTGTATCTAAAACCTACAAGGAGCAAAAGTGACTCATTCAAACTTTCAAGTTTCAATTATAGACTATCAGCCAAAATAGAGAAAATGAGAGTTCAGGAAACCTACCCAAAAAATCTGGAGATTGTGGCAATGGCAAATCACTGATTTCAACTCCTCGGCATTTATATTAGCATAGCTAAAGTTCAACGAAGTGAGGTTAGCACACACGGGATGGATGGCAGGCAAGAACACCGGCACAATCTCCCTAAAACCCGATAAACAGACAAGAGATTTACAAGCAGCAAAAGCAGCTCGATAATCCAAGTCTTGCTCAGATGGTTGCCAAATCTCCGAAGGACTAAAAGCCCCAGTTCCAAGATGGGTTAGCTGAGGAGCTCGAACCATCAAACGATACAATTGATCAATCGAAACGCAACGATTCACCCTAAGCTTCTTAAAGTTAGGGGATCTAGCTAGGAGCTTCTCCAATGCATTGAAATTAATAGGAAAATCAATGCACTCAAAGCTAAGAGATTCAAGACAAGTCCCAGATTCAGGGAAAAATGAAATCCAATCCACTTCATCATCATTCACTTCATCCTCAAACAGATCCAGCACTCTCAATTGTCTGAACAAAAACCAACAAAACAATTGGAGAAAACTAAAACTATCAACATCAATATTTCTCAACTCTACTAAACTGTACTAAATACAAATACACTTCCCAAATTACATTTACTCTCCAAACTATTCGTTAATTAGCTTTATAAAGCAACTAAAAATCCCCATAAAATCACTTTTAACTTTTTTTCCATTTTCAGATCTGGGCGCTTTTTACACAAATACCAAATCACAACACAAATATAGACAAACATTTGGAAAAGAAAAATCTAATCACTACCCAGATAATTATTCATCAAATGCAAAGTAAATAAATTACTAGTACAAAAATTTGATAAACTAACCTGCACTTTGAAGCAAGAACAGCAAGTCCACTAGTTCCAAAAGCCTCACAACAAACAAGAATAAGCTCCTTTAAAGAAAAGAGAGACTTAGAAATTAGTTCAAGATCAAAATCAGTTACAGTCATACGTTTCAAGTGAATCTTTTCAAGCCAAGGGTAAGCCTGAGAAAAAGCAGATAACCAACGAGTAGAGTGAGCACCCCAGTTCAAAGGCATGAGCCCGAAGTCAGCGAACCGCGGCTTCCCTTTGATGAGCACCGATCTAACCCTCTTGAACCGCTCGGTGACACGGGCAGGACCCACCGCATAGCAGTTCCCGAGGAAGAGGTCGGATCGGGTAAGCGCCTCGGCGCGGTACCACGACTTGCAGACAAGGGAAGCCGCGTTCCTGTCGCGGCGACAGGTCAGGAAGTGGAGAACGTTCTCGAGAACGTTCTCCAACACCTGATCCGGACATGGCGGGGTGTACAAAGAAGAAGACGGGGTGGAAGAAGACATCCCGCCATGGCCGGAAACAGACCCGGACCCGATCGCAGAGTCTTCTTCGGGTCCGGGTCTGTTGTTATTATCTCTCATCCTCCGAGATAGATAGATCGATCTCGGGGGAAGAGAGATAGAATCAAAATCAAAAAAATAAAAACTTTTAAGAAAAAAGAAAAAGAAGAGAGTGATTAGGGTTTTAGTAGAGAAGAAGGAGGAGGATTGGTGGGATGAAAATGAGTGAGAGAGAAAGAGAGGAGAGAGAGAGAAAATGGGGGGAGTGTGGGGGAGAGAGAAGAAGGTTGGAGTTGGGTTTAATAAATAATAATGGAGAAAATTAGGCAGAAAATATAAACAAACAGTGGAGTAAGGTGGTCTGCTTCATTTCAATTTGTAATAACACACCAAAAATTAACATTTTTATTTCTTTTAGGGTGTGCGGTGGTGGTGTGGCATTGGGATTCTTCATTGGTTGGGTTGTGAATTTGTGATTTGGAATTATCTCCCTATGCTTTTGATTACTTTCTCTCTCTAAATTACAGCTCTAAATATGAACAATTAGGGGGGGACTCCCTCCATCTTCCTATACGAGACACTTTATTTTTATATTATCTTGTCGTTCTAAGTTTACTCTAGTAATTCCTCTGTTCACTTTACTTTATCTAATTTGACATTTGTATTTTCAAGCTCTTTTTATAATTGTTTTTTTTATTATTATTATGATTAATATAAGTAAGCAAAAATATAGTCATGTAAAATTATATAGAAGTAAAATTTAATATTAAAAGATAAAAATTATTTAAAGTCGCATAAACAAATTTGGTAATTAAATGAAACAAGTTAAAAAGAAAGCGAATGATACCACATGATAGATCTCAATCGAGTCTTTAAAGGACAAAAATATTCTTTGGGTAAATTCAAAAAGTACGAAGAGAGTAACAATTATACTTGTATGCTTTTTTTAATTTATTTATTCTAAAGAAATTCGTTGCTTTCATTTTCACTTGAAGTGGTTGAGAGAGTTGACCATATTTTTTCTTTTTAGTTAAGAGTAGAGGAGAGGAGGGGGAGTTTTGTAAAATCTCCGTCTGGTGGGCTACGTAGTACGTACAGCCTCCGTATTGGAATATAATATAAGTCAAATACGGAAAGCTAATAAATACAGTACCTCAAAAGCACCTCATTTTGTGGTTTTTTTTTTAATAAAAAAAAACGAATAATTAGTGGTCATTTCATCAATGGTCAAATCACGGTAGTTTGTTGTGTTTTATTGGAGAGTTTTTGAGTTGCGTTAATTATTTTATTTTATTTTATTTATTTATTTTTTTCCCTTTCTTTTGTGATTACAATAAAAATGAATTGGCATCGTTTTTTGTTTTCAATATTTTGTTTTTTTTAAAACCAAAAACAGAAAATAAGAAAAAGGTGTTTCTATTTTTCTGTTGTCAGTTTTCAAAATTATCATGATTTTAATAAGTTTGACAAATTTTTTATTCATTATATGATATATATATATATATATATATTATATAATTTTGAAAAACAAAAAATCAAAAAAAGAAAATCACAGCGATATCAAACGAACCCTGAATAAACATATTGCATATACTCTTATAATCCTACTATAAGAGAAAGATATTTCGTACGTCTCCAACAATGAGTCATGGTCCATTGAAAAGTTGAACCCGAATCTTTTTTTTTTATTAAAAAATGGGAAGGAGTGGAGAGAAAAGATAAAGATCTAAGAAGTACTACCTCAATTAGATCTCAACTCTTATGTTTTTTTTTTTGCTTTAATATTAGAAGGTTAAACACTTTGAAAGTGAACCAGTGAGAGCAAAAGGTAATTTGACATTGAAGTAATTTAAACAAATAATCTACTTTGATTTATTTTTGTTAGAATTAGCTCTAAAATAATTTAAGATAGAATCAAATATATATATAGAAAAAATATAAGTTTTGACAATTTAAGTTGATTTTATATAAGTTGAAAAGGGTGATTTTTTTTTTTTTTTTTTTTAAATGTAAGTTGAAGAGGGCACACTTTTTGACTTCATAAGAGCACCAAATATAGTTTTATGCTAGGATTTTCAAATAAATAAATTGAAATTTCAACAATATTGTTACTTGTATAACTTATGTTAACATAAGGATTGTATTGTATCTATATGAGTATCAACAACTTGATCGAACAATATTGTGGTTTTTATCATTTTACATCCTTGGCAAAATAATAATAAATGCTCCCCCCTCCCCCCCCCCCCCCCAATAATATGCTAGATAATAATAAAGTTAACTAAAATCTTAGATAACTAGATGGGAAGCCCGTGCGATGCACGGTTTTTTATACATAAATCTCATGAAAAAGATTTTTTTCTTAATTTAACCCTAAATTTTTTTTTTATTATTTTGCTTGTTAGAAAACGAATGATTTGTTTTATTTTTATGCAACTCATAATGCAACCTTAATTTACTAATATTAGTTATATGAAAATTATAAGTATGATAGATATTAGAATAAAATCATAATCCTGTTCGTATTTTTTTAACCTATGATTCATTTGTATAACGAAAACACGTTGTTCAACTACACATATATAGTTATAAAATTACTATTTTTCTTTCACAAACAATAACTTAAACCACCATTATTCTTTTACTCTGCATCAACTTTATACAATGAAAAATTAATAGAGTAAACCCAAAACTATAGGGTTAAAATAAAGACGGTAGGAGTAATAGTAAAAGATATGACTTTATAAAATTTTAAATAGTTAAATGAAATATATATATACTACCAAGAGTGTTGCATTACTAAAATTAAATCTTTATAATGAAATTTCATTATCATATGTCTTAATAATAGAGTTATATGTATACACTACTACAATGATTTCTACAATAATAATATAGATATTCTACCAGAAACTATAATACACAAAAAATAAAAATTATCAAAGACATCTCTTACAATCTTTAATTTTTTTTTTCCCTACTATTGTATCATTATAGTTGACTTAGGGTTTGTTCAGATTTACTGGACTGAGTTGAGGTGAACTGAACTGATTGAAGCTGAACTGAACTGAATATTTAATGAGAAAAGGAAATTAGGAACTGACTGAACTGAACTGAAAATAAGCTGAAGAGAACAGACCATTACTTTTTCAATAATTTGTTTCAATTGGCGCATGGACATAATCCCTTCAAATACAGAATAATTAATATTAAGTTACAATTAAGTTCTTTAACAAAATTTAATACGATAAGTAACATAATTAGATTAGGTAAAATAAAACAAAACATACATCTTATAAAATAATGAACAACAATCAATTTATTTTGTTTACCATCAGAAAGCCTTGATATACTTACATTATTTCCAATATTTTTTGTTAATCAACGAATTAGACCTGAAAAAAATTCACACCAGGAAAAAGTGTAGATAAATAATATTCACATGTTTGTGTTTTTTGTATAGTATATATATATTGTCTATTTACAATTGAAAAAAAAAATCAAAATTATATTTTTGAGTGGATGTATACAAATCTTTAATATCATCCTATCTTATATATTTGTGGAGTAGCAAATAAATCTCTTATAAAAATTTTATCTAATCATGAAATGGGTTGCTAGATAAGATAAAAATTGGACATTATTGTTTTTTTTTTTTTTTTGTTTTTTGAAGAATATTGATAAAGACTAAACGTTATTGTTATTTTTTTTTTTTTTGAAGAATATTGATTTTTTTGAAAAAAATTGAAGAATATTAGTTAATTATTAATAATTTATATTTCTTTTAAATTTTTTAAAAAAAATAAAATTGATTGAACGTTTTCTTAAAAACAAAATGAACATATATTTTCCTTTTTCAAATATTTAATTTTAAAGTGTTTGTATATAATAATGTATAATTTATAGTTTTTTTTAATTTAAATCCTAATATCAAAAGATCATCTTTTAAAAAAGATAATTTTTAGTTTTAAAATAATTTAAATAATAAATCATTATTCGTCGTTTTTACCTACGTGACAAAATTTTTAAATTTCATTCATCACTTTGCTTATGTGGCAAGTGAATTTTTTAATTCAAAATCAAAATACAAATCTAACTTTTAATTGGTTGAAATAATACCGTGCGATGCACGAATTGTCATACATATATCTCAAGAAAAGATATTTTCCTATATACTCTAATTTTTAATTTTTTATTTTTTTTATAATTATTTGATTTATTTTACAATTTAATAATTTCAGACAAAAAAATAAACAAATAATAATTTAATTAAAATGATATTGCCAATTACAAAAGTAATTTTTTTTTAATGTAATTTATAATGCCACTTAATTTATTGTTGTTTTGTATTTTATTCGTTGTTGTTGGTTATATGACAATAATATGATATCTTTAAAAAAAATGTAAATATGATATTTCATTGATTACATATTAGCATAAAATCTTTAATGTTTAAAATAATTTAAATCCTAGTCATTATTCGTAGAACAAAATCAAAAATAAAAATATAATTATAATAATCAATTTTGAAAAAAATTGTAGAACAAAGTTGACTTTAATTGATGGAACGTAATCACCCTGTAATTAAAAATAAAAAATTAAGTTAATTTTATGACTTAATTAAGCTACCTAAATCACAAAAAATTGTTTTAATCATACAATTAATTGATAAAAACTACAAGGTTCATTAAAAGATTTAATAAATGTAAACGATTTATAAAGATATAATACCTTCTCATCCAATAAGATTATCAAGCGAGAAATTCGTACTTTGATATTCCAAAGATTTTTGCTCGAATTTAATTCTCTGATTAAATTAGATCTGCATGTAAAAACAAAATTCAGTAAACAAAACATAAACATATAATCATTAAGTATCCTAAATAAACACAATTTAATCAATAATCACAAATATACATGTAAACATGGGTTTTAAAAATTAGGCTAATAATTACCCAGCCATTGATGACCGAATAAAACTGACACAAATTAATGACACAAAATTTGCTTGGTTTGGTTTTGTATTGATACAAAATTTTGTTGGTGTGATATGATACATTAATTTATAATGGTAAATATCACAAATTTTAATTTAATTATAATTAAGGAATAATTTGTATTTCTTATTATAAACACTATCAAAATTTATCTTATAATAGTAGGTATATAAATCTTATATCTAAAGATGATTAGTTTAAAAGATAACTTTTAGTTTTTTAAATAAATTAAATCCTAATAAATCAATATTCGTTGTTTTTACTTACGTGGCAAAACTCTTAAATCTCATTCGTCACTTTTACTTAGGTGGCAAACGAATTTTTTAATTCTAAAATAAAATAGAAATCTAATTTTTAATTGGTCGAAATAATGTCTTTGCTTATGTGGCGTGCCGAATGCTCTCGAAAAATGCCTACTTTATTTATATATATTAGATTAGATGGAAGCCCGTGCGATGCACGTTTTTTCATCTAAGATTTTTAATTATTTGATTTATTGTATTTAATAATTTCAGACAAAGTTACAAAAGTTTAATATTTATTTTTTTACTATAATTTATAATGAATTTA